GTCTAACTACCCGGCAGACGACTAGTCTTCACCGGGATAGAAAGCTGAAGCAGTAAGAACATAACTCCACTACTGGAATTGGATTCCAGTACAAAGCAGTAAACTGGCTAACTCTCGTATAGCCAATCTCCTACTACCGAAAGATGAGACTCTAGCAACCTAATCAGATTCTATCTATCTCAGATTGCAGCAGGAATCAGGAAAAGTTGATCAGACTTCAATTGACTCAATAAACATGCATCATTCGATTAAAATCAAACAGTAATATCATCCCAAGTCATTACAATCAATCCCTAACACATAGAACTAGGGTTCTTCATCCCCAAGTGAGAGAGGGGTTCTACTCCATAGAGAGAGAGAGAGAGAGGAAAACAAGATACAAAGTAGTCATACTCATAAAGATGAGGAAAATCTGCTCTGGGATGATGATTTCCACTCCTATGACGATCTCCAAGCTTGATTTGATGAAACCCAGCTCCAAGATGGCTTCTAGGATGTGTTCTTCGTCCTTTCTCTCTCTAGAACTCTGTTTTTGCTCAAAAAGTCCGATCCCCTCTCTTGCAGCCCGAAATTGGGTTAAAACCAGGAAATCCCGACTCACACGGGCAGGGCCACACGGCCGTGTGGCATACCCAGTTGCCCGTGTGAGTCAAAACGTTGCGTTCCACTTAGTTCGATACTCAGGCTTCTCACACGGCCAGAGTGGCACGGCCGTGTTTGATTTCCATCTGCCCGTGTCTGCTCTCGGCAAAAGTCACACGGCCAGACCACTTCTTCACACGGCCGTGTGAGTTGTCAGGGCAGGCCGTGTTTGCTCTCGCACAATCTCACACGGCCAGAAATATAAGCTGCACGGCCGTGTGATTTGTGGGTGTGCCCGTGTGGCCTCCTTTGTGACTTGCCTCGCGCCCGATCTTCGTCCAATCGACCCCAAATTCGCTCCCAAGCCTCCATTCACGTACTAGGACCTGAAATATCACAAACAAGCACACCCTAGCGTGAAATCGGCCTAAAACACGAGAAATCACCTCTCAAACGAGGTAAGAACAGGGGTAAAAACATGTGTAATTAACGGTCTATCAGGGATAAAATCTACGCATTAAATAGTTTAAAGTATTTACCTTACGGTATTTAAATTTGAGATTTGCTACTATGTGTCATATTTGCTTATGTATGTTTACGTGATGCATGATATTATGTGTAAATTATGTTTTAAGTTATACATTAGATTGAATGTATTTAATTACCAGTAAGTTACAGTTAAGAAATAAGTTGCTTTTAAGTAGTATTTCACCTTCAAGGAAGGTGAAAAGTTTTAAGAGTTTTTCGTCGTTGGCGCCAGTGAGTTGCCCATATGAGATTTTGAGATGAGCAGCAGTTATGCTTTTGAAAAATTTTAAGATGAGTAGCAGTTATGCTCTTGAGAATCGTGCTGAAGAGCCACTACGATAAGTTTAAGATGTTAGGGGGGGGGGATTATCGTCACGACTCCCCGAACTAAGTTTAAGTTTATGGAAGCCTAGATGGGCATTAATACATATGAGTTGGGACCCAGACTAGCTAGTTAGGGATGCCCGTGTCAGTCAAGAATTTAAGTCGAAATTTGAGTTTTAAGAATGTAGAGTAACATTAACTCTCATTTAGTTTTGAATAATATACTAGATAGTTTAAACGTAAGGGCGTAGACTGACCCCAACTCACTCACCAGATCATAGAGGCGGAGATCGTACCCAGACAGTTCGTGATCAGCAAGATTGAGGAGCTCAACACAATCTTTGCTGAAGGATGGCACGTGAAGGATCATCGTAAGCATTGGAGAACACTTTAATTTGTTGATACTTTATGGTTATAAGTTTAAAATTGGAGATTCGTTTCTTTTGTTTATTTTAAGAGTATGATTCAAGTTTTTCCCATGTGCTTAGGGCTTTGTCTTGAATTATGAAGTTATTTAAGTTTGGTAATTTTAATCAAGGTTATGTTATTTGTAATATTTTTAAATATACCCCGGGGTAGAAATGTCATTTCCAAGTTTCAAAGTAGTGGGATGTTTCACAATCGAACAAAGTAACATACTTGCAAGAGTTCCTATGTGAAAGAATTCATATATTTCTCACCTGCCCTAATAATAGTATTTAGTTAGGTGGAGTAAGAAATAATTCTGAGTATCAAGGATAAAAAAAATTGTTTAGACATGATTAAGTTGGTTAAGTTTTTAAGAGAATCAAGGATAAAAAAATTTGACCCGTTCCAGTTTAAAAACGAAAACTAAAAGAACAAGTTGTCCCTCCTATAAAATGATGTCGTTTACCACAACTAGATTTAATACAAATAGTTGTACTAAAAGAAAATAACATGTGTATCTTACAAAGCACTGGCATGCGTAAGAACTTGTCTCCATCATTTCTTGTTGAAGTATAGTAAAGGGCCCTAACGCTAACACTTCTATTAAGTCCAAACATATTTATCACTGTAACAAAGATGAGTTTCCTTATAATGCAAGAGAAATGAAAGTGGATACGTGTGTGTATGTTATTTGGACAAGTATTTTCTGAAAACAAAAGAGACAAATGGAATAGGGTTCCTTTATCCTGGTGTAGCAAAGCAATTAAACTGAAACATCACTTAGGACAAACTATAGTAGAAGGGATTACGTACGAAAGCTAATTCCTTTCCTGTTTCTCACACAAATATCAAGTTTAGAGTCTTCTTAATTGGAATAAAGCAGGACTTATGTGTGTATATATGAGGCATTTTAGTGTGCTTTATAGTATTGGTGCTATAAAACGTTTACAGCCATTAGATCATGTTCAAAATATATCAGCCATTAGATCTTATTTAGATTATTAATATATTATTTTATTTATTTATGGTCAACCGGTACAACCGGTTGTACGTGAAAAAAGTTGGAAACCCATTCTCTTATCCTTCTCCTCTCCGAGCAGATCTGAGACCCTCTTCTCACCGCCGACATCCATTCTTGCTGTCACCGGAAATGCAGTTACCGACTCCAACTCCAGAGGCAGCGAATCTCTTCCTTTGATCTCGCATCGTCTCTCTACTCTTTGACCATCCCGTACAAAAAATTGGAGCGTTTTTTTTATTATGATCGGAGCCCTCTGCCTACGGCGACGAGGTTCTTACCTCGAGCAGCTACTCCCGTCCTAGCCCCGATCTGGTCCCGCTTACGGATTTCAGGCCGGCGGGGGCATGCTTGCCGGTGATTCTGAGTACGGATCCAGATATGGTGGGAGGACTGAGATCGGTGGCGGAGGCGGATATGGCAGGAGGATTGAGATCGAGTACGGATTTGGCAGCGATGGCGGCGGGAGGAATCTTTTTTTTGGGCTGATCGTGGAGGTTTATTTTGGGGCTTGATTTTTTTTTTATGGCTTCCAATCCTCCATTCCAAGTGATGGAGGATCAAACCGATGAGGATTTCTTCGACAAATTAGTCGACGATGATTTCGGGCCTACCAGCTCCGATGCCGCTCAGTGAGCAAATTTTCTGAGGGGAGTGATTCCGATGAGGCCAAGGCGTTTGCTAATATGAGCATTGAGGACGTCAACGGTGGCGGCGAGGACGGTGGAGTTGTGGAGGAGGAGGTGAGAGATGATGGGAATTCGGGGGATGTGCCTGCTGGAATTTCTGGGTCTCCGACGGAGGAGAGTGATGCATTGAACTCCTCTGGGTCTGGCAATGCAGTGGATTCTAGTAATGATGGGTTGAAATCGAAGGTTGCACCTGATCTAGATCCAATGACTGATGTTGGATCCACGAAGTCAGGGGCTAAGGCGGTGGGTTGGGGTTCATTGTATGCTGGTTCAGCACCAAATGGAAATAATGAGTTTGGTTCGTGCTCTGATTTTTTCAGTGAGTTGGAGGGGCATTCTGATGATTCTATTGCAAAAGTTGGTGGAAGCACGAATATAGAAACTAATGCAGTTGGGGAAATCGGGAATTTTGTTAGTTATTTGCAGGAAAACGTAAACAGGCAGGATGTTAATAGCACTCAGTACTGGGAAAGTATGTATCCTGGGTGGAAATATGATATGAACACTGGGCAGTGGTACCAAGTAGATAGTTGTGGTGCAACAGTAGGTCTCCAAGAGAGCTACAATGCTAATTCGGGAAGTGAATGGCCGGGTGCTGCTGATGGTAAAGGAGAGGTTAATTTCTTGCAGCAGAGCTCACATTCTGTTGCTGCGACTGTGGCTGATACAAAGGTTTCTCATTGGTAGTACTGCTCGTCTTGACCAAGAGAACGTCAGCCATTTCATTTCTCTCCGGCGGTGCTCTCCGTCGGCTGTTTACTGGTACGAATGCGTCCTTATTGTAATTGGGTTTTGGTTCATTTTTGGTTTCGTTGAGTGGGGAAGTTCTGGTGAGGCTTGCATTGCGTTGTCGAGGGGGGTTCTGTGAGTTTTTAGGTGACAAAGGTCAAGCTTTGTGGTTTGTTGGGAAGAATTTGTCGGTGCCGGTGGTTTTGGCTGGATCTGGCTGCAACCCTGCTTGGAAAATGTCTCAAAGCTATGAACTTCAGCTTTTCCCTTTTCCGGGTTTAATGGGCTAAAAATGGAATCTTTTTCTCATTTCCCTCTTGAACGTCTTACTTTCAGATGTGTGATTCTCGTGATTGATAACTACTCTGTAACATTGGTTGCTTTCTTGGATGTGAAGAAATTTATTGATGCTTCACCCCTTTTTGTTAGCATTTTGAAGTTTAGGCTTCTGTTGCTCGAATTTGTTGCTGCTTAAGAGTTTGAATTTGATCTTAGAAATGGGCTTTTGTTGTTTGGTTGCTGGGAAAATGTTGTGATAGCTAGAAAAGTACACTGCTTTTGTGCTGTTAATTGTTGCTTTTGGCAAATAAGGTAAGTGGTTGCTCCAACCTAACAATGAGAAATTGCAATTTTCACCTTTCTGTTTTAACTTACCATTTTATCATTCTAATTGTTGTTTTTGGTGACTGAACTATTGCAGTAGCATTTTGGACCATACAATGGTTCATGTAAATGTGAAGAACAAGAAGAATGCTTCAGTCCAGTTGAACTACATAATCCACATTGAAGAGATCAAGCCATGGCCACCATCTCAATCTCTGAGGTCTCTCCGGTCTGTACTAATTCAGTGGGAACATGGTGACCGCCATTCAGGTCTCTCCTGAGCCAGTGCAGCTAGAAGTGCGGTTTCAGGAATGGTTCTAGTGGCAAAGTCATGTGGCAACGACTGTGCCATGCATTGCAGCTCCTCCAATCTATCTACCATCTTCATCAGCTTCAGTTGCTGCCACAATTGGAGAGCTCGGAAACCAGCTCAGGAGAAGTGGTTCGTCCGTGCTGAGAAAAGCATACACTAGCGACGATGAGCTCGACGAGCTGAAATCGCCTCTGGCTTCAATCTTCCCCGAGCTGATGCCTTGTTCATCATCATCCCCTGCAGCCTGGAAACTGAAGGAGGGACAGAACCCGGTAAGGTACGACCTTCTGAGGGAGATATGGAAGAACAGTTAGTAGTCTGATCTTGTAAACAACCACATAGTAGTATATAAAGAACGGGGACATGACTGTTGTACAAATTTTGGTGGTTCGCCTTCTTCACGTGTGTTTGTACAAATTGAGAGCCCATCTACTCTAAGCCATGAAGAAAGACACAAACTTTACATTTACTAGAGTGCCATGGATAGCCATGGCAGTGTTCGATCAATGGGCTTAAGAGTTGCATATTGCTTCGCTCTGAGTTTCTGCTTAGCTGCTATTGGTTAACCACTAAATAGACTTCAAACCGAACCAATCTGTCTACCCGAATTCCAAGGCATATCACCCAAACCCACCTTATGACCTTCCTTTATATCACAGTTCAATGCAGTCCAGAAACCAAATATTGAGGGCAGCAAAAGGCAAGGCATAGACCATATTCAAGTTAAAGACGGAACAAAAGAGCACACACAAACCAGCCACAAACAACAGAAACAAAGGAAAAGCAAAAGGATCTTGTATTGATAGAAAGCATAACAATATGCTTGTTTTGATTTAGTAATAACTTTTCCCGGATGCCAATTGTCCTTTTGGCCAAAAACCACTCAAAAGCCCTTACAAAAGCAACAATGCAAACTCCTCAAAATTGCATCTTCAGCTCACAATCTACATATCATGGAAACTTGTACCTATACCATGGTACAACTTTAAGTTGTACCTACACTTTCTAATAAATCCTTTTATGGTACAACTCAAAATTGTACCTATACTAATGGTACAACTAAAAGTTGTACCTACACTTTCTCCAAATCCTTCTATGGTACAACCCAAACTTGTACCTATACCATGGTACAACTTTAAGTTGTACCTAGACTTTCTAACAAATCCCTTTATGGTACAACTAAAAATTGTACCTATACTAATGGTACAACCTTAAGTTGTACCTACACTTTCTCAAAATTCTTTTATGGTACAACCCAAACTTGTACCTATACCATGGTACAACTTTAAGTTGTACCTACACTTTCTAACAAATCCTTTTATGGTACAACTCGAAATTGTACCTATACTAATAGTACAACTTTAAATTGTACCTACACTTTCTAATAAATCTCTTTATGGTACAACTCAAAATTGTACCTATACTAATGGTACAACCTTAAGTTGTACCTACACTTTCTCAAAATCCTTCTATGGTACAACCCAAACTTGTACCTATACCATGGTACAACTTTAAGTTGTACCTACACTTTCTAAAAATCCTTCTATGGTACAACCCAAACTTGTACCTATACCATGGTACAACTTTAAGTTGTACCTAGACTTTCTAACAAATCCCTTTATGGTACAACTAAAAATTGTACATATACTAATGGTACAACCTTAAGTTGTACCTACACTTTCTCAAAATTCTTTTATGGTACAACCCAAACTTGTACCTATACCATGGTACAACTTTAAGTTGTACCTACACTTTCTAACAAATCCTTTTATGGTACAACTCAAAATTGTACCTATACTAATGGTACAACTTTAAGTTGTACCTACACTTTGTGAAACAAATTCTTCAATGGTACAGCTGAAACTTGTACCTATACGATATGGTACAACTCTAATTTGTACCTACACTTGTATACATTGATTCATTATTTACAAGATTGCCATTAATGATGTGGGACCAGTCATTTAGTGGGTTTACCTCCTCAACAGGTCACCTTTTTTTTTTTTTATAGCATGGGTGCTATAGAGCACACTAGAAGGGCTCGTGTATATATATGTCGAACAATCGCACTTCCATATAGAAAAACATAAACTCACAGTTGAAAGCATAAGGAAAATTTTCTCCAAGCAACATACTAAAGAAATTAAATATATATATCCATGGCTTCGAAAGCTTGTATTCTTTTGTTCTTGTTGTTGGCTGCTTGCTTTCTAATCTCCGATTGCGCTTCCAGGGTCCGACTCTCAACAACCAACTCATCACCGCTCCCTTCCATAGTTTCGGATAGGGTTGACGGTGTCCTTCAGGTATCCATTGCATGCATGCACGCAACATTCTTTTTCATCTTTCGGCCATGTTAGTATTACGTTAGAATTATAATAACCATTATGTTAGTATTATATAATAACCGTTATTGATTGGCTACTGTATAGGCCGAAAGCGACTTCTCCCCGCCAGCACCAGTGGCCTTGACTGCTACGGCCAAAAACGGCAATGAAATTGACTGTCATAACCAAAAGGGCGATGACGCACCAGCTCCCGTGGACGACTAATGATAGAAGCCAAATCACTCCAATACGTTAATCATGATCACCATACAAGCTTTGCTTCATGTGTCGTCCAATGCGTGTCCCTCCATGCTTTCTAAGCATTATAATATCTACTGTTCGTGTTTTACATCTGCCTACAATAAATAAAAGGGTGCATGCATGCATGCAATATCCTCCACCACTCATCTAATCAACCTGTAACACCCCGATGTTTGGCTTCAAGTTCGAGCATAATAATGAATGATTGGATAGACGATTATGTACGAAGAGTTGCAACAGTGAATAAGAGAAAATAATAATGTGTTATTATTATTATCTAGTTAAAAACTAACACTTATAGTGACTGGCTCCCCATTTACATGTCCTTACTCTGAGATCTCCAACCTTCATAAATCATCATCATATCCCTACATCTAGCAATCCAATTATTCAACCACTTGGTCCCTACAATAATTACTCCAGATCTGAAATAATGGCAAGATAAGATCCAATCAATAGAATTCCATTAAAGAAAGAGGAAGAAGAGATGCTTCCGTTTATCTGTTCAAATAAAGCAGCAGTAGCATCCAATGTAAGTGGCTTCCGTTCTAGCCTGAACCACCTCCTCAACAAGCTTTCGACACCTATGGTTGCATCTCTTTTTTTGTTCTTCAGTATAAACCTATCAGGATCCTTGGTGGAATCCAGCCGTGGAGCGGCAGGCGCAGGATAGAATCCACCGCATTGGACAGTATAAACCTATCAGGATCGTGAGATTTATCATCGAGAATACAGTTGAGGAGAGGATTCTGCAGCTGCAAGAGAAGAAGGAATTGGTCTTTGAGGGGTGAGATTTTTCCAATGTCTTTCTCTATTGGGCTGCAACCCACCATTTCTCCCATTACCTCGCCTTGCAAATACTATATGATTAACGACGTATTTTTATTCGCAGGACTGTCGGTGGTTCGTCGGAAGCCCTTGGGAAGTTGACAGAGGCAGATTTAAGGTTTCCGTTCCATCTTCTTCTCGTTACACAAAAAAAATTTTGAGGCTAGTACCCTCTCCAAAAGTGTTTTTGCATTAGTGGGAAAATTTCAAAAGTCCAAAATTCCAGAATTTAACATTAGCTCATAATCAAGTTTAGTGTTTATTTCATTATTCTAATTACCAAATTTTGACTTCAAAGTTTGAGTCCATTTTAGTAACCAGTTCACGTACGGAATTAAATTGTAGTTACGTTGGCCAAGTGATTGAGTGATCAATCGACGAGATAAATGTCGAATATAGTTTGAACAACCTCCATCACGTTCTAGGCACGAAGTTAAGGTAACGAGCTAGCTAGACCTCCTCTTTCATTTCTTTTGAGTTTTGGATATCTTAGTGTCATAACCGGATTGCTCCATTAGTACGATATTGTCCGTTTACGGCCAAGCCCGCACAGTTTTACCCTGGGGTGTCCTCCCCAGAAGGCCTCGTACTAATGAGCTTGGTGGACACTAATATACAAGAGTTCCTTTCCTTGTGTTTCCGATGTGGTACTTGGATTGTCTCATAACAATCCTCTCCTCAATCCAAGCATCAGGAACTTCGTGTGCGCACCCTAGCGATTATCTTGATCCGCCAGACTCTTTGTATCGATGGGCGTTTCGGTACAAGTACTGCTACTCTCTTTAATCTGCTTCCAAAATGCGGAACTCTTTTGATCCGCCAAGCCCGAACGCGGATCTCTCCTAGATCCACCAAATAGATGCGAATCTCAAATCCCAAGGTCACTGAATGAGGGCCCACCAAACTGACGTCCACTGCCCCGCACCGAACCAGGCTCTGATATCACTTCTCCTAACCGGGATTGCTTCATTAGTACGATATTGTTCGCTTTGGGCCAATACCGCACAGTTTTACTCTTGGGTGTCCTCCCCAAAAGGCCACTTACTAATTGGGGTGGCGAACACAAATATGCAAGGGTTCCTTCCTTGTATTTCCGATGTGGTACTTGGATTGTCTAACAATCCTCCCCTTAAGCCAAGGACCACGAACATCGTGTCCTCACCTCAAAGATTATCTTGATCCGCCAAACACCTTGTATCGATGGGCTTCTCGGTACAAGGATTTTCCCAGACACAGAACCAGGCTCTAATAGCACTTATCATAACGCGGGTTGCTCCATTAGTACAATATTGTTCGCTTTGGGCCAAGACCGCACGGTTTTACTGTTGGGTGGCCTCCCCAAAAGGCCTCGTACTAATAAGCTTGGTGGACACTAATATACAAGGGTTCCTTCCCATGTATTTCCGATGTGGTATTTGGATTGTCCCGTCACACTTGGTTATATTTATTTAGAGTGACGATCAGAGTTATTGAATTAATGATTGTAACGGGAAGGAGCTAACGAAAAGTTCTTCATGCATGGCTTGACTAAATTAATAGATGAATGAGTTAGTTATTTTTCAATATGATTCGTATTATAGGAATAATTGTGACGTGATGGTAGCTATTAAATTTGCGTACGTAAATTAAATATGGCTAGTGGTGTAGTATACGTTAAAATCACCTACCTAGGATTTAGCATGTACGGGATAAAAATGACCTTTTAAATTAATATGTAGTTATGTAAGAGATGGGTAAATAGTTATGTTAAGATTATTAATTAATTACCTTGTAAAGTATATATTTATGGATTAAAACGAGAAATGGATCTTACTAGCATGCATTATTTGAGTATATATATATATATCTATAGTTAGTAATAATAAAGGTAGTTCGTGAAGCAATTAAATCTAGGTTGC